ATCATTTCAATGAGTACATCAAATATAGTTACTCCAACTACATGACCAGATATTTCTGTTGTCATACAAGGTATTGCTCAACTTTTCATTAGTTATTCTCATTTTATAATGAATATATTGTTGAAGTGTATTTCACTTTATGTCTACAGTTAACCTTGTTGAAATAACCTTAAATATCTTTCTACTTATAATGAAATGATAAACCATTAAAATAGTTCTTCATTTAATCGAATTTTGTCATTCATCAAAACAGATAATTTATCAATTAAAAACATAAAGTTCAGTGAACGGATCTCTTTCTTTCAACGAATTTATCATCAAGCTGTACAATCGTATATATATGACAATTTTTTTTGTTAAAGTACCAATTCCGTGAGGAAATGTGAAGACAAATAACCAAGATAACGTAATAGAAAGATTACAATACTAGATTGCGTAAATACAAATATTAACAATAGATTTAGTGAATATAATATGATGAAAATGATTAGAATGTTTTTTGAAATCAGAAGGGTTTTGTGGATATTACAGTAATTTCAGTGGTTGAGATCATGTGTCAATTGAAGCTAGACCACCATGGGAAACCTGGAAGTACTAGACGGCCGTTTCGTCTTATTACGGGACTCGTCAGATAGTTACTCACTGAAGACATTGGTGGATGTGTCGCTCAATTTCGTGGACTGGTTGAGCTGAGATCTTAACACTGTTGGATGCCGGCTAGCTCAGTGGTCTAGTGGTCAAGCACTCGTGCGCCAGACTAAAGGCCCTGGGTTCGAATCCGGAGAGCGGGATTGTGGATGCGTGCTGATGAGGAATCCCACAATAGAACGAAACGACTGTCCAGTGGTTCCATGTTTTCCATGGTGGTCTAGCTTCAGTTGACTCATGATCTCAACCACTGAAATTAAAATGTTTTTGTTAAAATAAATAAAGTTCAAAGGGGTGTCAAATAATCAATTACAAACTAAAAACGTTTCTTAAAAAAATCAATAACCATCATTTACTATATCTTCTTAATCAATATAAATATTCAGATAAAATAAATAAGAAGAAACAATGTATATCTTATAGTGAATATATTACACTATCAGAAGGGGGTTCTATGGAGGTTTTAGTAATTTTTATAGTTAAATTTATGAGTTGATTAAAGATAGACTATCATGAAAAACCTAGAAGCACGAAATCGATAGTTCCTGTGTTCGAATTCTACGAATGGGATCGTGAATACACCGTCCAGTGCTTCCAGATTTTCCATGATGTTCTAACTTTAATGGATTCATCAATTCAATAATAGAATATGATACAGTTTATTAACTTACTTTTCATTTATATTTATTCGTTTACTGGATATATGACAATACGTTTTAAGAGTAAAACTAACGAAAAAAAACAATTTTTTATGCCGAATATTTCGTTAAAAAAGAAAAAAATTAGAAGAGAAAAGAAACGAAAAAGAAAATCATTCCAATCATATTGCATGAATTTACTATTCAATAGGTTTGAATGTTCTTCGAATTCTAACCAATCAAAATCATTTATTTTTATTTTTTTAATTTTTTAATTTTTATTTATAATTGATATTTTAGTTCACTTGGTATTGCTTTGCTTGAATCTTCCCAAATAGGATGAAACTCGTGTCCTAGATTCTACTGTTAGTCACTATCCATAATATTTGACAAGTAAGACCACACCTTTTATTTGAATAATTATACTTTATATTGATTAAAATAAATTAAAAGAACATATTCAGACGAAATAGCTTTCCAGTGTTCCCAGGTATTCTATGATTGTCTAGGTCATGAATAATATATAATTGATAAGGATTAATTGTTTTTTTTCTAGTTTCATTCTAATTGTTATGGTGATTTCATTAAATTATTTGAACATTCGACAGGTAATCAAAAATAAAAACAAAACAGAACAAGACAAAATGTCACTCAATTAATTCTGTGTAAATAAACATAAATATTTGATCAGAAGGGGTTTTGTAGAGATTTTAGTCATTTCCCAAGTTTTCCATAGTGGTCTAACTTCAATTGACTTATGATTTCAATGAATATTTGAATTTGTTTATATTTCAACTATGTAGAAGAAGAAAAATTTTTATTGAAATGACCCTGTTTTATGGATAAATATAAAGTGATTGGTTAAAAAATAATACCCTGTAGTAGTAGTAGTAGTTAAGAGAAAAATAAAAAAACATACACATTGTGTTAGATATATGGTGGAAATTTATTATCATTAATTAGTAGTTAAGTAAATTTACATGAAAAGTAAGTCGTGTAGTGTATTATACTTGATTTTAAATGAACTTTATATCGTTTCTTCTTTCTTTTTGTTTCATTTCAATAACTAACTTGATCAGATGATGATATCGCATTTCTTTTGTTAAGTATGTCTTAATGTAGATTTCAGTTCATTGTTGTTACTTGATAAATATATACTTTAATAGTTCAGATCATGTGTCAATTGAAGTTAGACCAGCATGGAAAACCTGGGAGTAATTGACGGTCGTTTCGTCTTATTGTGGGACTTCTCAGCAGAGCATGTACACGATTCCGCCTAGCGAGATTCGAACCCGAGACCTTACTTACTTACTTACTTACTTACTTACTTACTTACTTACTTACTTACTTACTTACTTACTTACTTACTTACTTACTTACTTACTTACTTACTTACTTACTTACTTACTTACTTACTTACTTACTTACTTACTTACTTACTTACTTACTTACTTACTTACTTACTTACTTACTTACTTACTTACTTACTTACTTACTTACTTACTTACTTACTTACTTACTTACTTACTTACTTACTTACTTACTTACTTACTTACTTACTTACTTACTTACTTACTTACTTACTTACTTACTTACTTACTTACTTACTTACTTACTTACTTACTTACTTACTTACTTACTTACTTACTTACTTACTTACTTACTTACTTACTTACTTACTTACTTACTTACTTACTTACTTACTTACTTACTTACTTACTTATTTACTTACGCCTGTTACCCTCCCCCATTTGGAGCGTAGGCCACCGACTAGTTTTCTACAAGCCACCCCGACCTGAGGATTCCTTTCTGGTTCTATCCAATTCTTGCTCATTTTTCTCATGTCTGTCTCCATTTCTCGACGTAATGTGTACTTTGGTCTTTGTCTTGTCCTTTGACCTTGAGGATTCCATGTAAGGGCTTGTCTCGTGACGCAGTTGGGTGCTTTCCTCAATGTGCGTTCTATCCACTTCCAGCGCTTCTTCCTGATTTCTTCCTTCGCTGGGATCTAGTTTGTCCTCTTCCATAGTAGATTGTTGCTGATAGTATCTGTCCAATGGATCCGAAGAATTTTGCGTAGACCACTGTTAATAAACATTTGTATCTTCTGGATGATGGCTTTCGTAGTTCTCCAATTTCCCGCCCCCATACAGTTGAACTGTCTTGACATTTGTATTGAAAATTCTGACCTTGGTGTTGGTTGACAGCTGTTTTGAGTTTCAGATGTTCTTCAGTTGTAGATAAGCTCCTCTTGCTCTGTCGATCCTGGCCTCCATATCTGCATCAGATCCACCGTGTACATTAATGATGCTGCTCAAATATGTAAAGGTTTTTACATCTTCCAAATCTTCTCCGTCTATTGTGATTGGATTGATGCATGCTGTGTTGTATCGGAGAATCTTGCTTTTGGCTATGTGTATTTGATATCTTCTGCTGCCGACTTATACCTAAATATTGAATTGGTGTTAATAATCACTGGTTAACGAATAGGTTAATTTGAAGCCGCCTTGTGTAAAGCGCTACATAAACACGGTTATTTTTAAATACTTATCTATTTTTATAGGTAGGCAGTAAAATCCAACTTAAGGCCCCGTCGTGGCGCTGCAAGATAGTAGGAACAAACGTGCTAGCCAACTTAAGCGGTCGACTGAGATACGACTAATTATCCACTCCGTTTTATCCTTGATTAAATCAGTTTCCAAGTCGGGGCTCACTTAACTTCATCAGGCTATGCGATATGTATATTTATGTATAAGAACTGCAGACGTTCTTTGGTCTATGTAATTCATGTATGCAGATATATGCAAAGAGTATATGCGTGGTGTCGTACAAAAGAAACGTTAGCTGAAATATTGTTTGCCCTATATCTAATAAAATCAGAGGCCTAATCTATCAGGTCCAAGACAAAGTAAAAGGATATGGTAGCAAATACTAGGAAGCGACGACCAAATACCTTCCTTGAAAGAATTCTTATTCTTATGCGTGTATCAGGAAGTACTAGAGCAATAGCCACAAAATGAATTATATAATTCATAATTGAAATCTGAATACTGAATTTATCATCTATAATATATGAAAGTCTTTTCCGTGCGATTAAAATGATCAGTAATATATACCAAACATAAAATTATCATCAGATGGGTTTTATGGATATTATAGTAATTTCAATGGTTAAGATCATGAGTCGGTTGAAGCTAGACCACCATGGAAAACCTGGAAGAACTGGACGGCCGTTTTGTGACGGGCTTCACGAGGTATATCCTGGAGTTCTAGTGAGAAGTAGTGACCAGTGGAGTTCAACCAGGTCTGTTGTGAGATAGCAACTCACTGAAGACAATGGTGGATGTGTTGCTCAATTTCGTGGACTAGTTGGAGTTAGACATAAACACCGTTGGATGCCGGCTCATTGGTCTAGTGGCTAAGTGCTCGCGCGCGAAACCAGTAGGTCCTGGGTTCGAGGTCGTGGATGCGCACTGCTTGAGGAGTCCCACAATAGGACGAAGTGGCCGTCCAGTGCTTCCAGGTTTTCTATGGTGGTCTAGCTTCAACTGACACATGATTTTAACCATTGATAAAATTATCATTTTATTGTATAGATCTATAATATTCATGAATATTTCTCTTATTTGTTTGAAAACAATTTTCATAGAGTTCATATCTAATCCATGTCAAATTCATTATACTATATTATATTGGATTACTGGATATATAATTATGATAATATTAGGATTTTTTATATTGAATCAACTCAATTTCATTGAACATCAATGTCAAACTTTATATAAAAGGATAGAAAAGAAAAGTAATCTATATAATGTTTCTGATTTACCATTTATATTTATTGGAGGTCATACAAATACAGGTAGATTAGTTTTATTCATTATGTTATTGATAAAAGTGTAAATACTGCCATACTATTTTATTTGTTAATATATCAATTCAATAATGACATGCATTGATTTAACTAGTTATGACCAATATGATAATATTTGAAATTCATTACTTACTCCTCTTACTCCTCATGGAGAAGCATAGACACTCACCAGCATTCTCTGCCCAACTTTGTTCTGAGCAATCCTTCATTCATCTGGTTATTGTTTTTGGCGAGTTAGTTTTCTATGGGATGAGGTCGCCAACCTTATGTTCAACCCTCCTCCTTTATCCGAGCTTGAGACCGGCAGTAACCCCAGATGGGCTCCAGGCGAAGGATCGATAGTTATTCGCTACAAAACGTTTAAATGTCAGTACCATTAAGAAGTTACAAGCCTTGGGAAATCAGACGTTAATCTGATCACTTCCCTATAATATTTTTCCAGGTACTGATCTAATGGGAAATATTCTAGATACTCATTCAATGGTTCGTTGCAGACCTAAACCAATTATAACAAAATTCTTATTGCGATACAGAAAGAACAGACTACATTCAATGGAGCGATTAGTAGAATCTGGTATCACTGCAGCCGTGTTAAACAATGCTGTAGCTGCATTTATTGCAACAATAATCAAAGAAATGGGTCCAAGGACACCTAGACTATGCCACAATGATCTAGAATCATTTGATTATCTTGAAGACTTAAATATCTTGTTTCCAAAAGGAAAGTTTATTCACATAGTCCAAGATGGAAGAGCCACTATTGCTTCAGAAATAGCGTAAGTTTTCAAGTAAATTTAATTTACTTTATATATATTTAAAATGACCAATTGTAACACAGTGGTGATTAATCTCATATAGCTGATCAATTTTACAGAGTTATGAGTTTACATTAGTGACGTTCCATTTTCTATAAGTTGAGTTACACATTCTACACAATAGGATTCAGCCCTGATTTTAATATTCCTTTGGGGTTCGTTATGAATAACATGCAATGTTCAAGAATATAACACAGCACAACTTATATAAACATGCTTATGATAAAATGTCATTGTATCTTGAGATGGTGGAGAAGATTTGTAGCTCAGGTGGGTGATTTTGTTGGTCTTGACCAAAACCATCCAGTTCAGAGAACAAAGCTCCATCAATGTGATTGTATCATTTAGGTATGATATATTACATAATTAACAGTTTCATTAGCTGTTATTCTAAAGAGTTTAGTCATTGCAAACTCATAATTATATTTATTGTAATTACATAATAATAGAATTATTTTATCCATTAACATTCCCCATTATTATCAATCTAATGATAATGTTTAATAAAGACAAATCTACAAATAAAATCAACATTCATCCCTTCATTGTTTATTTTTCAGTAGAAACATCAATTCTAATTATACATCTGAAAATATCACAGAAGCAATTTTAACTTGGGATGACGAAACAACACAAATATTAGAGGATTGTGAAAACATTGGTAGTGAAAAATGTTTAACTGTACGTTATGAATGTTTAGTATTGAATCCACTCAGAGAAATCCAGAAAGTTCTCCGTAAGTACATATTTATATTTCGTAACTTTACTAAGTATACATAAAAACAATCACCAACTATATATATATATTCTGCTTAGAATCCCACCAATTTAATTTGGGCATCTGATTACTTAATCCAAAGTACATTATTAAGTGTATGTCATTAATATTTACAGATTTCAGTATTCATGAGTCTATTAAAGCCACATCAATATTGAAAACCTGGAAAGCTGGCCAGACATTTCGTCTTGGTACGGAACTCTTCAGAACTGCTCATCAACGATCCCGCACTACAAAATGCTACAAATGTGACATTCGGTCTCGCGCACGAACGATTAACATCTAGTCTACTGAACCGGCATCTAATAGTGTTTATCTATAACTTCAACCAGTCAAATAAATTAAGCCACTATCCATGAGTTTAACTATTAAACTACTACAATCTCCACATAACACGCTATCCGATAACACTGATCATATGCTCACTAGTGACTGTCTTCAAGATTTATTTCATGGTGTTGTAGTGAGAAAACGTGACCAGAAGATTTCAACCATGTCTATTGTAAAGGAAGTTGTCTACAAAAGGCAATAGTGGACGGGCGCACAATATCATGGATTGATTGAAATTATACACTGAAAAAATTAGACGCCGGCACAGTGCTTTGGAATTCAAACGTTCGCGAGCGCGACCGAATGTAGTGACTTGCAGTCACGTGTGCGGGTTATGGATGCGCAATGCCGAGAAGGTCCATGATAAAAAAAAACGGCTATTCAGTGCATTCCGGTTTATCATAGAAGTCCAGATTCAATCAACTCATGAATTCAAATATTAAATCACAGCAATCTCCACAAAACATCCTTCATCATAACATTCGATATCTCAATTGAGAATTATCGTTTCGTCAGCCGATAATCGGGAAAGGCATTTCAATATATAGATTTCGTAGTTTATGGTCGCCAGAAATATAACTTCTGTATCACAATTTAAGGTATAACAACTTATTGAAATCACATTTAATCTCCTCTCTGTCAATGAATTCATTGTATTTATCTATAAAATCAGAGAAAGCAACAATGATTACATTCAATTATTAAAGTAAATCCAACTGATAAACCTGCTCAATATCAACCTAATTACAGAAGAATACAGCCAAACTGCAAACTGGACATTTTGGAAGAGTATAATGATGAGATCATCAAATTTTCAACAAACAAACACGTTTAGTATTAATCATAACATTGAGGATTTTTAAATCAGATTTCAGCACACTGAATGAAATGAGTAATTCAAACAAAAGAATGCCAATGAAAAACACACCTCTAAATACGAATCACTTTCATATTGAACAGTTCCATCCCAAAATAAATCAATCTTCCTAACAATGTTTTTCACTTTCCCTCTTCGAAAATTATTTCCCGTACTTATTTCTGTTTCATAGATATTCTACTTATTATAAATCAGTAGTCTCAGTTGTATTTATCGATTTGTATCATTTGGAAATCTTAATGAGTTACTTCTTCACCATAAACGAAAGTACGTTAAGATTTACTTCACTACTTTTAATTTTTACGAACAGATTTCTGTATATTTTCTAGGCTAGATCTCCCTCATGTTCTTCAATTTAAACTCGGTTTGATTTGAACCACCTGCCCATGTTCTTTTAATAGTAGATTATTTTCCATTAAGTAATTCATAAACACTTGACTCATCTTTTCATCACTTCTATAATTCTAGTCAGTCCTGTATTTCTAACCATAAATCCGTGTTTGTTATTAAAGTTTTCCCATGACAATAGTTCCAGCTATGTTTGCTTAATCTGAATAGTTCACACTTGAGTGTCTTCGTATTCCAACTACAATATATTTTTGGCAATAAATCTCCTCACATTCACATAAACCTATAACGGCAAGACGACATTTTCTAATGTTTCACTCACTCAATCACTCACCAGTTCAAAATCTCTTCAGCCTTATATCATTTACGATTGCCTATACATTAATTAACAATTGCACTTTTCTCCTTTTCAGACTTTCTCGAATTGCCATGGGATGAAAAACTACTTAAGTATGTAAAATATTCTCTTGATAAGTTCATATTAAAATGATAGGTCAGCAGAATGTTTTTTTGCATATGAGAAATTATACTGAAGCAAATGTCATTTGCATCACTTATTAGACACAACCATGATGATGACGAACAGAGGGTGAGCAAACATATCAATAATCAAAGCTTTCACAAGTCATGTTTCTCACCATAGCTTTCGTTACATTAACGTGTATGTAGAGGAAATGCACGGAAAAAATTAGGTTATTTTAGTAAAATATAGAAAAGCATCATTTATATTTATGTCCAACCAGTTTTCAAATCCAACATTCGTTTTTCTATGTCATTTGATAAATCATTTCATGATGTCCATTTTCACTAAACACAGTTAAGTGGTTTACAATTCAGTAGCTATTCACCACAGTTTCATCACAACTTCAATCATGGATATGCGACATCACTTGTGCAGACTGGCACCATCCTACGAATATGAGTGTGATTTTAACACACAATCATACTATCAAACTAACTTCTAGAAACTCAAGACACGTTATGCAAACTCTCCTCCTTCCATCATGGATAGTTGCAATAAATAGATAGTTGTTAATAATACGTCCTTCATTTTGAAAACAACATCAAATCAGACTCAAATGAATCATTACAAAGCAATCAGGTGCCACGTGTATGGGAGAAACTACTTATGAAACAGGAATATTCAAGGCAAAACAGTTTAGTTTAGACATGATTTACTTTGAACATATTTAATTTGTTCTTGCACTACAATTTAATTTGTTTCACGTTATTTCACATATCAAATCCGCAGATATGGAACTGACTCCAGTCGAACAGATCAATTAATTCACAACAATTCTCTAGATGCGTGGTCAAAAGCGAATTCACTCCTATCAGAAGAACACATCGAATTCATGAATGAGAATTGTTTGGCACTAAAACAGTTGGGTTATCTTACAGATGAAATCCCACCGAATTATGCTACAATCTGCAACATCTAAACTATTCTCAAAAAAACAAATAGTCAGTAACAAGTTGAAATATGATACCTTGAATTTGTATCAATGAGAAAACATCTCTATTCATTAGTGTGCAATGTGTGTATTGTGTTTATTGTGTTTACGTAGAAACTGTATTTTTGTACACATTGATGTAATAAATATGTGATTTCATGGGAAGAAATAGTCGTTTGACATGTTACAACACAGGGTTATTTTCTAAGATAAACAATAAATAAATTGTATTGACTTACCAGTATTGTCACTAAGCGAAATCATTCTCGTTTCGGTGAAATAAACGACAAACCGACTCACATGAAAAGCTTCCTTCAACAATCTTCCTTCAAACATGAATGGAGTAACGAATTAATAGATTGAGAATTTACAGTTATTACTGAAATAATAACAGAACCAACAATGGACAATTAATGCCAAAAAGAACAAGTATTCACTTCCCTTTCTAATGATCACAAGAAACAGGAAAGATTCATTAAAATCATTCTGAAAATCAACCCTTCAATCAAGAGGAAAAGCAGAGAATTAATCTGTTTATATAATTTCAAATTAGAATGAGATGTAGCAATTACTATGAGTATACAACATGAACTTGGTTAAAAGTTAATTTGGATACACATAACAAATATTGTTGAGTCAATGACCCAGGAAACTCCAAAATAATTGAATAGGAGACGATAGGTTATCAATTCACAGTGAAGACATTTCTCGATAACTAAGATTATAAATAATCTCTAATGATCAGTAAGCAACTAGACACTTCAGTGATGAAGAATAACGTGAGTTTACAATCAAGCTACACATAGAACGAAGAATTGTGAAAAAATTAATTCGAAAAACTACTGATGCTATCGAACAGACGTAATAAGGGAAAAGTAATTTGACACTGTGATAGTGAACACTCGAGTATTTAGTGATAATTCGCTTTCGTTACATAAGAGATTACTGGGAATCGATAGGGCAATGACAAATAAGATTGACATAATTAATGCATGACATGCAATACGACCATATTCAATATTTGAATACGTCAACTTACTGACCTGTTACAGAAACGTGTTTCGAATAGTTCACTAATGTAAGGACATTATACTGTACATATTACAGTATAGAGGATATTAAATGAAATCAAAGGTAGGTTTAAATATTTCGTGTACGAATTGAAGTACAATGGTAAAAATAAATCAATTCACTTAAAATATATAAAAGTTAAATGGTCTTCCAATTCATAATAAAATCACAGTACCTGATGAGAAACAAACCGCTCAAATACGAACTAAATTGTCTGCAATGCAACATTAACCTTCATAAAATATTTCCATTTTCCAACGTCAAAAATAATACGAACTAATGTAAACTAAGAAAACTACGCGAAACATCTAGGTGAAAATACGCAACATACACTTTATAATATTCTGTTGTCATTTCATCCATACATTACATGATGGATATCAACAATTCAAAAGTAAATAAAATCACACAATGTCGAGCACGTCTCACACATAATATCAATCCATGAAATGAATTAAAACGGTCTAACCGGTTACAACTATGTACCTGAAAATCATATCCAGATATGATTTCAATGCCAGAATATTCAGTGGAACAATCGTTTTATTCACTAAATCCAGATCAGGAAGATAAAACAATGCAAGTAACAGTATATGTATATTTATTGACTAGGGTACATACATTTAGCTGTAGTCATCAATAGCTAAATCAGTGTAGAAGTATTACAGAACCTAACAGCAGTCATAATTCGTCACATAACACTCATCTCAGCATCATTTTTTCGTAATGTTCACATCGTCTACAACAGGCTCGTCCACCACAGGCTCGTCCACCACTTCCACATCCTCCGTTTTCTTTTCACTCTTCGCTCCTACCGGATGAACCTTACGATCGTCCTCCTCATCCTCATCCTTTTCATCCTTTTCATCCTTATCATCATCATGATTATCTTTATCTGCATTCTTCACTGATTTATCAACCTTCGCATGCTTCTCCTTTTCAGCAGTGGCGGTAGTAGTGCCATTTGCAGCAGCACGAACATCATCATATAACACAGTCATGCAGAGTAGAAACAGTGTCAACTTGAGGAACATGATAGAATAGTTGAACAGATTGAACGTTAACTACAAACGAAATGATTTCACCACTACACATAAGCATATATATGTACGTGTATATCATATGGACACACCGAATCGATGGTAAATCGAACCAACTAATGTTAGTGTATGAAGCGTGCAATTGAGCATTTTTGATCAAAATATCTGTAAACATTTATTGGAAAACATAGTTGTCATTCTCATGAATCGATTTTACAATCAAAAATATTTTTTCACCCTACAATGATTTTCTATTGTTTTTCCATTAGTAAGTTCAGTCTTTTGTTCTGAATAGAAATCGTCATGGTAAGGCGTGCTGAAAAGACTTTTGGCGTCAGTATTTTATGCTGAATATTTGATGTTTAGTTTATGTCTACGGTTTCTTCACATTAGACGATTGTGCTTGTGGTCAGTTGGTTGAGGTTCGTTCAACGTTACTGTAGAATGTAATTTAACATATTACACATTGTTCAATGGAGTACTTTGAAAATCTTTTTAACAGAACACCTATCCACAGACATTAATGTTCTAGTGTTAAAACGAAAAATATCGTCTTCGAACTTGTTTCTAAATATACTGGATCACGAGAGGTCGATGAACCACATTACCGATCAAAAATTTTCAAGAAGTTTCTTTCCTTTGAATTACTTAATTAAAGTGATATTAAAAATGTTAGTCCCCATTGGTAAGCTGACCAACAATGTGTAGACATCAATATGATTATGTAACAGAAAGTCATGAGAAAGCGAAATAGAGAAGAAAGAGCGTTGAAAAATTATTAAGGATTATTTATCAAACATTTATCATCATGACAGAGAAGAGCTAGTCACGCTTTTCTTCTGCTTACATCGGTCTGGTGGAAAACATATAATGCCTTGCGCTTGAACTTGTGAAGACATTTCTTTCTTGTAATCGTAAGTTCCGAAATATGTTCAGAAAAGCTAATAGAAACCATTTCAGTTCTTCCCACATACTTGCTACTTGAGGTACATTCGCATTCATATCTGTAATTGAAGTTGACTTTGGATTTATATTTGTCATATTCATTTTGTTTAATGATATTTTACATGCCTCTCGATTGCTTTGCTACTTCAACCGCTCTCATCCAGTCAAGACGATCACACTGAAGTATGAAAGAATTAATTAATTTGGATTTTTTATAAACCTTAATGTATAGTGGAAAAACAATGAAACTTGATTATATATATAGGGAAACACCTCATAAAAATTAGGTGCCCCAAATTATCAAACAAAATGAATATGACATAAACTAAACATCAAATATTCAGCATAAAATACTGACGCCAAAAGTCTTTTCAGCACGCCTTACCATGACGATTTCTATTCAGAACAAAAGACTGAACTTACTAATGGAAAAACAATAGAAAATCATTGTAGGGTGAAAAAATATTTTTGATTGTAAAATCGATTCATGAGAATGACAACTATGTTTTCCAATAAATGTTTACAGATATTTTGATCAAAAATGCTCAATTGCACGCTTCATACACTAACATTAGTTGGTTCGATTTACCATCGATTCGGTGTGTCCATATGATATACACGTACATATATATGCTTATGTGTAGTGGTGAAATCATTTCGTTTGTAGTTAACGTTCAATCTGTTCAACTATTCTATCATGTTCCTCAAGTTGACACTGTTTCTACTCTGCATGACTGTGTTATATGATGATGTTCGTGCTGCTGCAAATGGCACTACTACCGCCACTGCTGAAAAGGAGAAGCATGCGAAGGTTGATAAATCAGTGAAGAATGCAGATAAAGATAATCATGATGATGATAAGGATGAAAAGGATGAAAAGGATGAGGATGAGGAGGACGATCGTAAGGTTCATCCGGTAGGAGCGAAGAGTGAAAAGAAAACGGAGGATGTGGAAGTGGTGGACGAGCCTGTGGTGGACGAGCCTGTTGTAGACGATGTGAACATTACGAAAAAATGATGCTGAGATGAGTGTTATGTGACGAATTATGACTGCTGTTAGGTTCTGTAATACTTCTACACTGATTTAGCTATTGATGACTACAGCTAAATGTATGTACCCTAGTCAATAAATATACATATACTGTTACTTGCATTGTTTTATCTTCCTGATCTGGATTTAGTGAATAAAACGATTGTTCCACTGAATATTCTGGCATTGAAATCATATCTGGATATGATTTTCAGGTACATAGTTGTAACCGGTTAGACCGTTTTAATTCATTTCATGGATTGATATTATGTGTGAGACGTGCTCGACATTGTGTGATTTTATTTACTTTTGAATTGTTGATATCCATCATGTAATGTATGGATGAAATGACAACAGAATATTATAAAGTGTATGTTGCGTATTTTCACCTAGATGTTTCGCGTAGTTTTCTTAGTTTACATTAGTTCGTATTATTTTTGACGTTGGAAAATGGAAATATTTTATGAAGGTTAATGTTGCATTGCAGACAATTTAGTTCGTATTTGAGCGGTTTGTTTCTCATCAGGTACTGTGATTTTATTATGAATTGGAAGACCATTTAACTTTTATATATTTTAAGTGAATTGATTTATTTTTACCATTGTACTTCAATTCGTACACGAAATATTTAAACCTACCTTTGATTTCATTTAATATCCTCTATACTGTAATATGTACAGTATAATGTCCTTACATTAGTGAACTATTCGAAACACGTTTCTGTAACAGGTCAGTAAGTTGACGTATTCAAATATTGAATATGGTCGTATTGCATGTCATGCATTAATTATGTCAATCTTATTTGTCATTGCCCTATCGATTCCCAGTAATCTCTTATGTAACGAAAGCGAATTATCACTAAATACTCGAGTGTTCACTATCACAGTGTCAAATTACTTTTC